ACCCACCACACAGACCCGTTCTCTCACATGTAGGCCTATGAGCGTTTTCACGCTAAATTTAATGGCGCTAGAATTTTGGCATAGATCTACGGTTTGGACATTGAACGTGAAGCTGTAGATCTACGGGACGGACCCTGAAAGGGTTAAAGTGCAACATGCCAAAGCCGCTTGTATGCAGAGCATTATGGGTAGGCTTAAAATTAACTTAAGATTAACTAAGCAATGATATATTCAGTAGTAAAAACATTATTGTAAACAGATAACAATTTAGCACAAATGAGTATTACAAAGACAGGTCATATGGTCATTTACTGTGTTGCTGTGTAATCAGTACAATGGAGTACTATTTTGTTAGGTAATGTGATTAAAAAATAAAGTTTGATTGGGTCACAGGTTAGACATTTATGAGATACAATAATGAGAAACATTTATGAGATACAATTTATGAGATGGAATTATTCAGTATTTATTTAGTTGTGGGTGAGTAAGTGATTTTTGAGAAGAGACTTGAATTTATAAACAGACAGTGTTTCTTTTATATTCACAGGTAATGAATTCCAGATTTTAGGGCGTTTTATGTGCATTGAGTTTTTGCATAGCGTGAGATGGACAGGCCCGGTGGCCTGGTGGCTAAAGCTCCCGCTTCACACATGGAGGGCCCGGGTTCGATTCCCGGCGGGTGGAAACATTTCGACACGTTTCCTTACACCTGTTGTCCTGTTCACCTAGCAGGAAATAGGTACCTGGGTGTTAGTCGACTGGTGTGGGTCACATCCTGGGGGACAAGATTAAGGACCCCAATGGAAATAAGTTAGACAGTCCTCGATGACGCACTGACTTTCTTGGGTTATCCTGGGTGGCTAACCCTCCGGGGTTAAAAATCTGAACGAAATCTTATCTTATCTTAAAGAGTGATCTGTGCCTTGTGTTATGGTCATGTGTTCTGTTGAGGTTGGTAAGGAGACGTTTGAGGGGAGGGTTTATATCCGAGTTAAGTGTTCTATGTATGTAGTAGGTGCAGTAATAAGTATGGATGTTTTGTATGGTGAGTAGGTTTAGAGTTTTGAATATTGGTGGAGTGTGCTGCCTGTAGTGGGAATTTGTTATCATTCTGACTGCAGCCTTTTGTTGGGTAATTAGTGGTCTGAGATGGTTTATTGCTGTTGAGCCCCATGCACAAATTCCATAGGTGAGATAGGGGTAAATAAGTGAGTGATATAGGGCTTGGAGGGCTGACTGTGGAACATAGTACCGTATCACCCGAACTTCCTCCTCCCTTAGTTTATACACTTTCACATATAACAATATTACCATTACCAAATTTTGTATTGGAAATTGTTGTTTCTTGGCATGATACACTGTTTCCAGAAGAACTCCTATATTGGCAGAGTTTTTATAATCCTTTAATGCATGTGTAATTTGATCATAATTTTTGGTGCAAATCTGTAAAGAAATGCAAATTATTGTTATGACTCCCATATTCTGTTGCATTTGTGCAAGATCTCTTAACTGAATACAATCTATGGGATTTTCTTCAAAACATGTTCACTACATTTTTTATACCCAAATTGGTCCTTAGCACTTTTTTAATCCTTTCAGGGTCCACAAGCCAAATTTCAAAGTGTGCATCGGGGTCCAAGAATTTTCAAAAAATAATTTTGTTATTTTTTCTTATGAAATGGTTGAGAATCTTTTTCTGAAGGTAATGAAACAAAAAGTATGAAATTTGATGGAAAATTGACGAAATTATGCTCTTGCGTATCTTGATGTATCTGATATTTATGCATCGGCGATTTTGCTGACTTTGACTCCCATTTTAGGCCACTTACATTGTTCCAGTCGACCAAATTCTTAGCTATTTCACTAGTATTAATTCTGTTCTGTCGATTGAGCACAAGAAATCGCCAGGTTAACTGTTTCAACTGCAAAATAAAGTGATCAGAAATTGGTAATTGGCCAATTTAATGGAAAGTTCAAAATACAGTGGACCCCTTGTTTTTCGTAATTAATCCGTTCCAGGAAGTGTGACTATTTTCGAAATTGACGATTTTCGAAACCATTTTCCCCATAAGAAATAATGTAAATACAATTAATCCGTTTCAGACACCCAGAAGCATTAAAACAAAAGTTTTTTTACATGAATTATAGCTGTAGTACATACACAATACAATGTGACATGATGAATGAAATATTAACAGCATAACACTTTCCTTTATTGGCGATTTTTCTTAGTGTATGGAAGACTGGAGGAAGGGAGAGATTGGATTATTTACTGTTTGGAAGGGGAATCCCCTTCCATCAACAGCTCAGGTACCAAGTCCTTTTCTGGGGTTACTTCTCTTCTCTGTTTCTTAATGCCACTAGGACCAGCTTGAGAGTCACTGGAGCCCTGTCTCACAAAATAAGTGTCCAGAGAGCTCCGTTTCTGGCATCTCTTTAAAACGCCCATAAAATGGGCCAAGACTTTGTCACTGTACAAGTTGCTGATATGGCTTGCAACAGCCTTGTCAGGGTGATGTTTCTCCATAAATCTTTCCATCCTATCCCACATTTCAAAAATCTTCTTAATTTCTGAAGAAGGCAACTTCTTCCATCTCTCTTCCTCCTCCTCTGCAGCAATATTCTGAGCTGCAGCCTGTTGCTGTTCCAGCTGAAGCTCTTGCAGCTCCTCAGTGGTTAGCTCTTCATTGTGGTCCTCCAACTCTTCCACATCCTTCAAATTCACATGCAACCCCATAGAACTCCCCAATGCCACAATAGATTCCACAACTGCCATAGGCTCGTCAGGGTCAGCCCCAAACCCTTCAAAATCCCTCTTGTCAACACAATCTGGCCACAATTTTCTCCAAGCAGAGTTCGAAGTCCTGGTAGTCACTCCCTCTCAAGCCTTACCTATAAGGCTTATGCAGTGGAGGATACTGAAGTGATCCTTCCAAAACTCTCTTAGGGTCAAACGAGTGTCTGAGGTCACTTTAAAGCACCTTTGAAACATTGCTTTGGTGTAGTTTTTTTTAAAGTTTGAAATGATCTGCTGGTCCATGGGCTGGAGGAGAGGAGTGGTATTAGGGGGCAAGAACTTTACTGTGATGAACCCATACTCCTCCAGAATTAGGTCATCCAAGTTTGGAGGATGAGCAGGTGCATTGTCCATTAGCAGGAGGCACTTGAGATCCAATTTCTTTTCCAGGAGGTAATTCTTCACACTGGGGCCAAACACTTCATTGAACCACTCAACGAAAATTTCCCTTGTGACCCATGCCTTATTATTAGCTTTCCAAAACACACATAATTTACTCTTAATAACATTGTTTTTCTTGAATGCTCTGGGATTTTCAGAATGGTACACTACTAATGGCTTCACTTTGAAATCCCCTTACGAAAAATGAGGGTCACTGTAATTCTGTTTTGCTCTGTCCTTGCAAAATGACCAAACTGCCTCAATAACCCCTCTTGAGCCCTCTGAATAATACTTTTAGTAACTCCACACCTCCTCCTAATTTCCACACTACGAATTCTCTGCATAATATTTACACCACACATTGCCCTTTGACATGACATCTCCACTGCCTCCAGCCTCCATCTCGCTGCAGCATTTACAACCCATGCTTCACACCCATACAAGAGTGTTGGTACTACTATACTCTCGTACATTCCCTTCTTTGCTTCCATGGATAAGATTTTTTGTCTCCACAGATACCTCAATGCACCACTCACCTTTTTTCCTTTATCAATTCTTTTTTCCTTTATCAATTCTATGGTTAACCTCATCCTTTATAAACCCATCTGCTGACAAATCTACTCTCAAATATTTTTTTTTTATTATTATCGCACTGGCCGATTCCCACCAAGGCAGGGTGGCCCGAAAAAGAAAAACTTTCACCATCATTCACTCCATCACTGTCTTGCCAGAAGGGTGCTTTACACTATAGTTTTTAAACTGCAACATTAACATCCCTCCTTCAGAGTGCAGGCACTGTACTTTCCATCTCCAGGACTCAAGTCCGGCCTGCCGGTTTCCCTGAACTCCTTCATAAATGTTACTTTGGTCACACTCCAACAGCACGTCAAGTATTAAAAACCATTTGTCTCCATTCACTCCTATCAAACACGCTCACGCATGCCTGCTGGAAGTCCAAGCCCCTCGCACACAAAACCTCCTTTACCCCCTCCCTCCAACCTTTCCTAGGCCGACCCCTACCCCGCCTTCTTTCCATTACAGACTGATACACTCTTGAAATCATTCTGTTTTGCTCCATTCTCTCGACATGTCTGAACCACCTCAACAACCCTTCCTCAGCCCTCTGGACAACAGTTTTGGTAATCCCGCACCTCCTCCTAACTTCCAAACTACAAATTCTCTGCGTTATATTCACACCACACATTGCCCTCAGACATGACATCTCCACTGCCTCCAGCCTTCTCCTCGCTGCAACATTCATCACCCATGCTTCACACCCATATAAGAGCGTTGGTAAAACTATACTCTCATACATTCCCCTCTTTGCCTCCAAGGACAAAGTTCTTTGTCTCCACAGACTCCTAAGTGCACCACTCATCCTTTTCCCCTCATCAATTCTATGATTCACCTCATCTTTCATAGACCCATCCGCTGACACGTCCACTCCCAAATATCTGAATACATTCACCTCCTCCATACTCTCTCCCTCCAATCTGATATCCAATCTTTCATCATCTAATCTTTTTGTTATCCTCAAATATCTGAACACATTTACTTCTTCCATACTCCCTCCTTCCAATGTGATAATTTTTCTTTATCTTACTCGTTTGATACCCTCATCGCCTTACTCTTATCTATGTTCACTTTCAACTTTCTTCTGTTACACACCCTCTAAATAATATGTAGTATAAATGAGACACCACAAGCATAGATTTGCTTCTGTAGATATAAATATGTAAAACAGACGAGTTAAAAGACACATTTGCAGAACTGTAATTATGTATATATGTAAATCTATAATTTATTTTTTTTTTTTGTACAGACAACAATATACAGGAGCTGTGCCTCTCTCCCAGCAAGAGCGACTTGTCGATCTGATGGAAACATTAAGGCAAGATAGGAATGCTTTACAGAAGACCCTTCAGAGTGCCCAGTATGACAAGATGGAGTCAAAAATTGCTCTGAGACAACTGAAAGTAAAACAAGAAGCTCTTGATGACTTGAAGGTGGCCTTTTCTTCTCCCAAATCAACAACACACATTGTTAATTGGTGTACTAAGCTTGAGGAAGCCAGACTGAAGAATGTTGAATTAGAAGAAAAAATTCAAACTCTTGAGGAGAATCATGCTTTAAGTAAAACACGGTTAGAGGGAAAAGAGAGGAGATTAGGAGAGTTGCAAACACAGCTTATTAATTTAGAAAAGCTATATATGGATGAGCAGCTTTTGTGGGATGAACGAGAAACTGAATTGACCAAAGCTCTTGAGAAACACGAGACAATGCATAAAAGAGCCATCTTGGAAATGAATACACTGAATACTGATGATGTTCCTGATGGTTCACTGCCCATATCAAAACAGCTTGAACAAACACTAGATTTATTACGACAAAAGGTGACGCTGTTGGAAAATGCTGAGAAGGAAATAGAAAAATATAGAAATGAGGCTCAAATTATCCAGAAGAAAGTAAGAGAGAAGGAAATAGAGGTTATAGCAAGAGATAAAATAATTAATGAAATTAGAATAATGAAGAGCACTTCAAAAGGTTCACAAATCCTTTCAGAGGCAGCTCACGATATAACAGATGAGGAAAAGCCCAAGTTGGTGACACCTGAAGAAGAAACTATAAAAGTTATGGTTGAAGGACTGAAAGAGCGTCTTCGCATGAGTCAAGACACAGTAAAACACTACCAGGATCTTTTAGCTAAAGTACATGAAGATAAACAAAACCTTGCTGCTAGAAATAAGGATGAATTGACCTGTGTAACTAAGGAGCGTGAAGAGGCAATTGCAAAAGCGCGGGACCTCCAATCCCAGCTTGACTGCATTCCTACTCGGGATCAAAGTTCAACAGTTTTAACCGAGGCACAAGCAGCACAAATTCAAAATTTGGAGGAAACTACAAAAATGCTTGAAAAACAGTTAGAGCAGACCAAGAGTCACCTAATTGCATATGAAAGGAAAGCAGCACAATTAGAACGTGACTTGACAATTGCTCATCGTGAACATGCCCAAGAAAAAGAACACTTGGAAGTGTCTAATCAAGTGCGAGCACAGCAGCATCAACGTGAACTAGATAGACTCTCTGGAGAAGTGTGTAAGATGCGTCATGAAAGGGATGAAGTACGTAAGGAAGCAGCTATTCTTAAAGAGTCTGCTTGTCGTACCCCATCTGCCATCTTGCGAACACTGGTAGAAAAATTGCGTGATCAGCTAATTGAAAAAGAAAAACAGGTTTCCAGGCTTCATCTTGCTGTACAAGACATGAAGAAGAGGATGTCAGAAAATAAGATACAAAATGAAGAGATAGATCCAGCCATAATTGAAAAGGAAGTGTCACAAGTGACCAACAAGCTCACTGAATCATTCAAAATGGAGCTTGGAAAACTTACTGCTATGAAAGATAACCTAGAACAAAAACTACATGAACAAAATATTTCATTTACAGCGGTAAAGGAAAAGAATAATGCAGAAATAGATACGCTGAATGAAGAACATAAAAGCTTGAAATCAGAAAATTTAAAATTGGAAAAGCAGATGTTTCAGCAAAAGAAAGTTAATGGTGCTCTTAAACAGAAGCTTGAAGATTTAGAAGGAAAATCACCTGCAGCAATAACCAGAGCAATTGAGAATTTGCAAGAAAAGTTAAAGAAAACTGATACTAAAGAAACACAGGAAAATGAAATTCGTAAGGCCAGAAGTCAAGAACAAGTCGTTAGGTGGGATGAAAGAAAGAAACTCCAAGGCATAATTGATAAATTGAAAGGAAAAGTGAAGGATTTGGAAATAGATCATGCTGCAAATATAAAGAAGTTAGAGACAAGTAGAGATCTTTTGAGCAGAGTTGAAAAAGAAAAGCTGTCATTGCAATTTAAACTGAATAATTTAAGTAAAGTTTCCACTGAAAGAATGTGTGGTGTTTGTCTGAAAACTTTAAATGCAAGAGAGAGAGGAAGTGAGAGTATTAATCAAGAAAGATCTTCACCAGCACATGGTATTTCACCTGTCAGACATGCAAGGAAGAGCCAAGTTAGCCCTTCTCCAGAAAGAGCCATAATTAAGGTAGAAGTAGGTGATACTCAGAGAGGTGAAGCCCAGAGTCCCTCATTGCCTACAAGAGCACAGATTACACAAGATGACAGTGAGTTAAGGTTTCGAATTCAACTAAAAAAAGCTTTGGAGGAAAAACATAGCCTGGAGTTGAAGTTTAAAAGTGCTGTAGAAGAAATTGCTGCTCTAAGAAATTGTCTACAGCAAAAAGAGGAAGAGGAAGAAAGACTAGTGGCTGAGAGGAGTCCAGTGGCACGACGAGGAGGTGGAGCAGCAGTTGTGCTTGAGTACGAGTCTCGTATACGAACTTTGGAAGAGGAACTACGGCAGAAAGCACGTCTTCTTAGTCATGTCAAGCAAGTAGTTTGTGAAGCTGCTGCTCGTGAAGAAGCTCTCTTAGAAGAAAAAGGTGTACTGCTTCAAAAAGTTGCTCTTTTGGAAAGTATATCAGAGGACACTCCATCTGCACGCCTTGTTCATGAATTAAGGCAGGCTAAACTCACAGTTACTAGACTCCAAAGACAACTGGACCAAATTCAAGGCAACTCTTAATGCCTTTGTGTGGCCCTAATTGAAAATAGTTTCCAGTCTTATATAGTGAGTTAAAGTGGATAGGATTAGCTTTGAGTAAAATATTTTTTAAGTACGGTACCTTTATAAATAGCAAACTTCAGCATATATAAAAGTGTTAGTTGAAAGCAGAGAAATATATCAGTGCAGTGCAGAGACTGGTGATAAAGTGAATGAGAATACTGTATTAAAAGATAAGCATGAGAATGTTAACTAAGCAGGTTTAGTAGAAAATGTCATAAGTCTGCACACATAAATATACATATCACAGGTTTGGATCATGTGAGAAGGCTACAAAACAAAATTCCATAGCAATTATGTAAGTTATTGCAAAAGTAGGAATGCAAGAAGAGGTTAAGTTACAATGCAGACTTACTAAATGGAGTGGAGAGTAATTTATAGAATGAGCATCAAGAATTTGTTTAACAGCCTGTAGGTGTGATGCTGGTCAGGTGTGCAAAATTGTTATGTGCAGTATAAAGTATGACATTCCCGGGTTTTAATACTACACAGGAATTGTTAAAAAAATATAAAGGTGAATGTTTGCGGGTGCTGATTAAAATCATTAAAAGAAAATCTGAAAAGCTGGTTGGGCGTGGGAAAAAACAGGGATTTTTTGTGGAAAAATTTGTGGGTAGGTAGTTAAATGAGTAAAAAGGGCCTGGAGAAAGAGCAAAAGTACATGGCTTTTTTGACCCGGAGCAAATGATGATAATAAAAACGAGATTGCAGGTAGAATTTTAAAGTATTGGGTTTTCAGTTTGCAGAGTTTTAACCTTTGACTGTTTTTGGTTTTTAATTAGTTTTCGAGCCAATGTGTTTATGTATATACGTATACTAAAATTTTTGTGGGGTTCAAATAAGCGGAGAAAGGGTAGGTCAATGTGAAGAATGGGTCTGTGTGGGGCATTGTGCCGTATAAAAAAACAAGCAGCACGCAGTGCATAATGAGAAAAAAAACTTTGACCGTATTTTTGGATTAAATTGCTGACTTTGAGGTGTATTTTCGTATAATATTTATGGTTATATTCTTTTTTTTTTTGGTCTCATTTGATGGAATGGAAAACATTATAGAAATAGAAGTGATTTTGATTGGTTTTACTATGAAAAGGATCTTGAAATAGAGCTCAAAGTGGCAGAGATGTTCGATTTTTGCCGATGTTCAAGAGTAAACAAATGACGTGATTGTCCAATAAATGTCCAACTAGCCATTCTAATACGCAGTCACAAATGGGTTGACATTATTTATACAATTATTACAATATTGCAGTAGTCTGCATAACAGTAAATATTCTATTTCTTTGTGAGTAAAAATTCAAAATAGAAAGCAAGAGTATTATACATGTAACAGGGGCCTGGAGACGTGAGTTATGAACAGAGAAAATGTGATTTTAGTGCCAGGAATGTCTGCATTGTTCATTCTGGACCCTGTTTTGAAATTGACATTTTTTAATTTGCATGATATTGGCCAAATTGCCAATTTCTGACCACTTTATTGGGTACTTGAAATTGGTAAATGAGCGGTTTCTTGTGCTCAATCGATAGAACAAATGGAGTTATAAAGAAATAACCATGACTTTGGTGGGCTGGAAGAATAGAATTGGCCGAAAATAGGGCTCAAAGTGGGCGAAATCACCGATACGTAAATGTCGCCGAGGTTGCTAACTTTGCTAGAGTGTAATTCTGTAAGTTTTCCATCAAATTTCGTACTTTTGGTGTCATTATCACCGGGAAAAGATTCTCTATCATTTCAGAAGAAAAAATAATTTTTTGTTTTCAAATATTTGCGACACCAGGAGACACTTCAGGATTTGGGGTTGTGACAGTCAAAGAGTAACCCTTTGACTGTCGCAGCCCCTGATCCTAGTCTCTCTCTCAGTGTTGCAAAATATTTGAAAAAAAAAAATAGGGTCCAGAATGAACACTGCAGACATTCCTGCTAATAAAATAACATTTTCTCCATTCATCAATCATGTCTCCAGGCCCCTCTTATATTACTCTTGCTTTCTATTTTGAATTTTTATTCACACAAAAAATAGAAGGTTTACTGTTTTGCAGACTATTGCATTATTGGAATAATTGTATAAATAGTGTCAACCCATTCGTGACCGCATATTAGAATGGCTAGTTGAACATACCTGGAGTTTACCTGGAGAGAGTTTCGGGGGTCAACGCCCCCGCGGCCCGGTCTGTGACCAGGCCTCCTGGTGGATCAGCCCCTGATCAACCAGGCTGTTGCTGCTGGCTGCACGCAAACCAACGTACGAGCCACAGCCCGGCTGATCAGGAACTGACTTTAGGTGCTTGTCCAGTGCCAGCTTGAAGACTGCCAGGGGTCTGTTGGTAATCCCCCTTATGTGTGCTGGGAGGCAGTTGAACAGTCTCGGGCCCCTGACATTTATTGTATGGTCTCTTAACGTGCTAGTGACACCCCTGCTTTTCATTGGGGGGATGGTTGCATCGTCTGCCAAGTCTTTTGCTTTCGTAGTGAGTGATTTTCGTGTGCAAGTTCGGTACTAGTCCCTCTAGGATTTTCCAGGTGTATATAATCATGTATCTCTCCCTCCTGCGTTCCAGGGAATACAGGTTTAGAAACCTCAAGCGCTCCCAGTAATTGAGGTGTTTTATCTCCGTTATGCGCGCCGTGAAAGTTCTCTGTACATTTTCTAGGTCGGCAATTTCACCTGCCTTGAAAGGTGCTGTTAGAGTGCAGCAATATTCCAGCCTAGATAGAACAAGTGACCTGAAGAGTGTCATCATGGGCTTGGCCTCCCTAGTTTTGAAGGTTCTCATTATCCATCCTGTCATTTTTCTAGCAGATGCGATTGATACAATGTTATGGTCCTGGACAATGATATTGTTTGTTTACTCTTGAACATCAGCAAAAATCGAATACTTTCGCTACTTTGAGCTCCATTTCAAGGTCCTTTTCATCATGAAACTAATCAAAATCATCTCTGTTTCTATAATATGTCTTCCATTCCATCAATAAGACCAAGAAAATGAGAATACAGAAATAAATACTATACAAAAATACACCTCAAAGTAGACGTTTTAATCCAAAAACACGGTCTGAGTTTTTTTTTTCTCATTATGCACTGTGTGCTGCAGGATTTTTTTTTTTATACTGCACACACTGACCACACAGACCCATTCCCTCACATGTGGGAGTACCAGCTTTCTCCCGCTTGATTTGAAGCCACTAGAATTTTTGAGTATGTATGTATACGTCAAACACATTGGCTCGTAAGTTGTACATATAAAAACAAAACGGTCAAAGGGTTAAAACACTTGCTCAACATTTAAAGAAAGCAGAGTATACAAAAGAGTTAATTGCAGTGCTGCATTTAGTACAAAAGAGCACAATAAGGCTGGGTAATGTATAAGTGAACATTGTCATTACTATAAGATGGGGTAAGAGCAGTCAATTTTATGGGTTTCATTTATTTTGCAGTATAGTTATTTATCTCATTATTATTTGATCAATAATAAGGCTATGTAAATTACTCCTTTACAAGATGCAAAAATTAAATTTTTTTCAGTGGTACAAAATGTGTTTTTCTTGGTTGCAAGTAGCCCACAATTTGGGATAATTGGGTTGCAGTTTTTTTTTTTTTTCTGTACACTTAAGGCACTTGGTGGCTTACAGTTCTCACATCATTGTGTTAAACATAGGACACTTGTGAATTACTAAAATATCTATGCATTCTACCGCAGTGTTGTATAGCCCTTGTGGCTTAGCGCTTCTTTTTGATTATAATAATAATATGCATTCTACCAATAAAACTCAAAAACTTTAAATGTTTCATATCACTGATAAACAATTTCTGTGTCTGAACACACTAGAAAAATAAAAAGTTACTGAATAGCTTTGTTTCTTACAAGCCCTTCCTAACATACATTTAGATTACCAAAGTAATCTAAGCATCAATCTACCCTTTACTGTCTGGTTTACCCTGTTTTATTACTATATCAGTTAATGTAGTTTTGAAAATATCAAGTTCCTCAAGCTCCCTGAAGGTTCACCTGTCAGAGTGTACATCAACACTATCCACTTACCTTAGATGGTTGATATCCCAGTCACTGTTGGTCTGGTTCAACTAGATTTAATAGCTTCCCTACATAATGCTAGTCCTTTTGATGAGGTGCCCTGAATCTATCTAAAATATACTCACCCTTGTTAATAGACATTTTATTAATGGTATCAGTGACAGTAATATTGGTGTCAAACTTTCTAAATGATTATCAACTTTTCAGCTTCATTTATTTTGCATTGCAGAAATTTTTAAAACCATTTAACTTGACTCCCCAGTTACCCAACTCTTGAAGATACACATGCAAAACTTCATTGCTTCAGTGGAACTGTATTATGTTGCACTAAAACTTACATAAGTACTTTTGTAGTTTTTGTAAAGACATGTATTACTCTTGGTCGCCTCCTCCATGTATGTACATCTGATTGCTTACAGTGTACATACAACTGTTTTACATAATTTAATGAAAATAAATACATTTTTCCACATCTAGTTTTGTCTTATATGGACTTCAAGAAATCAGCATATGATATCAGCAATGGACCTCTGGCCTGTCTACCATAGAGAAGTTCAAAAGGTGAAAACCCCAAAGAGTCACTGGGAACTTCCCTCATGGCAAACAAAGCACAGGGTAGGTAATGATGCCACTCCGTAGGTTTAAGGGAGCAAAGTTTCCGTAAAATGGACTTGAGAACCGAATGCTGGTGCTCAATCCTCCCATTACAGCTGGGATGATAGGGTGTGGTGAAGAGAGGCTTCACTCCCAGAAGTTGGTAGAGATGTTGCATTAAGTCAGATGTGAATTGTGTCCCACAGTCAGACAAAATCTCTCTAGGGATGCCAACTCTGGAAAAGATGGACAAAAGGGCTTCAGCCACCTCTGTAGTAGTTACGGACTTTAAGGGTACAGCTTCAGGGAAACTCGAAGCATAATCAACTAATGTTAATATATATCTATGTCCCCCAGATGAAAGTGGTGATAAAGGACCAACAATGTCAATAGCTACTCTTTCAAACGGTACCGTAAAGATAGGAATTTTGACCATAGGTACTCGCCGGGTACCTCGGGAGGATGACAGTTGGCATACTTTACACGATCTACAATATGTAGTGATATCTGAGGACATTTTGGGCCAAAAATAGGTTTCCCTAATTTTATTTAAGGTTTTACGATGCGAGAAATGTCCGGCCACTGGCAGGTCATGAGCCATTTTAAGAACAGTCTCTCTGCATTGACTTGGAACAACTAAGATGGAATAGTCTATCTCATCTGAATTTAATTTGAATACTGATTTATACAAGATACCTTTTATATATTCAAATTTATATGAAATGTTTTTCCTTTGGATAACTTGATTTTGTCTAGCGGCATTATGGCAATTCTGAAGAGAAGGGCAATTACATTGTAAA